GTGACTAATTCTCTCTCTCTCTTCTGTTTAGAAAAGGGAAATACTGTAATTTTCAGTGGCAACAGTGAAATTCTGATGATCATTTTCTTTTTGGCTACTCTGACCACCTAAGGATCCAATGGTGCTTGGCAGCCTTAGGTCACTGGAGGCTCCCATTCTTAATATGAATAAGGGGGGAAAAGATCAACACAAATATCCTGCCCAGAAGCATTTGATTAAGTTCACTACAGAGCAGTTTTGTTTTCTGAGGCAGCACTGGGCTTTAGGAGCACGGGAAATGAATCTATGAGCAGATTGTGTTGTCTCTGTGGTAGCTTATTGTCACTTCAAGACTTGGCAGGTTCCTTGATTGCTGTGTGACACTGTGTATGAAATAGCTTTTGGAAAGAATTGCCTTTGCATTCAGCTGTATATCTATTTCTCCCTGTGATATGTTTGCATTTTTCAGTATATTGTGCATTTCAAAAGCAATGAAAGTTCCACCTGCTGTACTGACACAAACTATCTCTGATAATGATCAAAGCAATGTGTTTCTACAAACATCACATCACAAAAGCTCTTTATCTTCTAATTCTTAGAAACAAGACTTTTATAAAGAAGATTGCTATTTGAAATACTCTGAAGTGAGCCTGTCTTACTGCTTCCTCCTGCATACATTGTGTTTAACTGCCTTTAATTAGTTACTTCAGTTCCAGACAGTGCTATACAATCAAAAGGACAGGGGAGAACAGGAGGAGGAAAATGAACCATCTGCCAGCATTATTCTCTCCCTTTTGGACACTACTTCTTGTTAACCCAACCCAAAGCAAAGGCAGCCTTTTTGGTACATTTGGGTCAAAAAATGGCATAAATATTTAGGGCTAGTGTAATTTCTCTCATGTTATTCCAAATTATTAGATGGTAATTTAGCTGCTTTATGTACACTCATAATTTTTAAGGCATTTGATAAAACCTCTTCTCACTAATTGCAGCTTTTCTCCTAATTCTTTATGTTCTTTTGCAGTCTCTGTCTTCATACACACTTCACCTTCTTCAGCTTGCCTGTCTGCTTTGGAACAGACTTGTTGTTTCTTGTAATCACCTCAATTTTCCTTCTCTCTTCTCCGCATTGTTGCACCTTTAGAAGCACAGAACTGCCATGGATGGAGTCAGGGGAGCACAGGCTGCATGTCAGGACTTTTTGTCCCTTCCTGTGACAGTTCATTTCATGTCCCTTGCACTCCTTGGGTTATCCCCTTCTGTGCCCCTAGTCATGTGTAAACACCATTTAATATTTTTGAGCCCTCAAACTGAAAGCTGCTATGCATTGCTATTCCTCAATCAGTGTTAAAAGTCATGGAAGGCAGGTGAATTTAACCCAGATCTTACATCATTTATCTGACTGAAACACTCTCAATTGTTCCCATAATTTGCCAATCACTCTGATGACAATTTTGCAAATTCCTTTCATTTTTAATAAGCAAATAGTCATTTACAGATCATGCTTTTGGGATGTGATGATCCTGCCCATGGTGTGTGGGGCTCCAGCAGCTCCTGAGCAAGCCCCAAGCCCTGAGAGCCTCTGGGTTTGCCCTGGGTGTTCCAGACCTGCTGATGTTGTGGGAAATCTCAACTGAGGCCAAGCTCCAGCACTTTTCTCACCATGGCTTTGCCCTGCTGTGAGAGAAAGGGATAAAAAAAACTGGTTATGATTTGAGAAACTGCATTCAGATTTCTGTCTGTGGATTGGTTTGGTTTGGTTTAGTTTGGGAGTTTTTTGTATGTTTTGGTTTTATTCAATTAAATCCTATGTGTTGTATCCCTTTTTTCCCCCTGAAAAACACAAAGACTCAGCAGAGCTACCTTCAGAAACCCTCTGAATATACCAAAACTGAGGATATGTTTGTGGTGCATAGGAAGTATTTGTATCTGAATGGAAAGTTGTTTAACACCAATAAATCACCTGCAGATTAAATGCTACACTGCATTTGTAATTATGAATATGAATTTTTCATGGTACACTGAAACTGAGTATATCTGGGCTTTGGTTTGCATGAATTCTTCCTGAAGTCATTAGAGAACACAATACAACTGCTATGACTAATAGTAATGGAGCTGGGTTTCCTTGTACTGTGGAAGTGTTGCTGTTGTTAAATTAATTTAACTGTATTGGATACTGATTACAGCCCTCCCTTTCCTGCACATCTTTGATAGCAGTTCAGATCTTTGTGTTGAAATTTGTGTCATTTACTCTGAGCCTTCACTAGCCTGTGAAGAACACGATGGTGAAGGGTTCTGATTCTGCAGTGGGGGAAAGAATGGAAACCATTTCACTCAAGGAAGCATAAGCTTGACATAAAACAGGTGGGTCTGTTTGGCAGAGAGTATGGTTCTTAATAAGAAAGTGAACTGACGTGTTTCAGTTAGAAAGTTTATTTTTGGCTCCGCCTCATTTTACTTATGAGTTGAAGTAGTCTTCAAAAAAGCAAAATATCTGAACAGCTTTGTTACCCACCAACATCCTTATTTGCAAAGAGGCACTGGGAAGAGGGAAGATGATTCTTGAGTCACAGATGCATCCATGCCCCTTAGGCATCCAAACCTCACAGTTATCTTGGATTCCCCATGTAGGCAGAGTGCAGGGCTGTGTGGATTCCTCCCTTAAGATCTGAATTGTCCTCTTAATTAACTATGTCAGAAAGCTGAGTGATTCATTTTAAGCTCAAAAATTACAGCCTGATGGGACCTGTGTATAAATTCTTTACAAACTGCAGGTTCAGTGACTGAATAACAGAACGTGGGTCACAAGAAGTGAATGAACACCAAGAGCAAACCAAATAATGCTGCATGTGTGTGCAGTATCTAAAGGGAGGGGTTCTCATGGAAGCTGGCACATAGCTGGAGATGAATTTCATTTTTCAACTTCTTTTTTGCAGACATTTATGCAGGATGATCTTATGTACATCCAAAGGCTTATGGAATTTTTTTAAATGTAATTTATAAAAGAGTGTGCTTTCTTGGTATTCCGGCTCTCCTGTATTCTAGAGACGTAAATTAGGATTTGGACAGATTTCTTTGTGTGCTGGTACCTCTCGTTCATTGCAGTTGATGATTAGTTTAGGCAGTTATTGTAAGTGGTGTTTAATTAGTGCAGCAAAGGAATAGAGACTTGTTGAAAATATTCTCATGGGGTTTCTCAGGAAGGTGTTTGCAGAGCTCAGACTGCATTTGTTTCTAGCAGGACTGAAAGAGTTCATTGACACTGAAATTACTGAGTTTATTACAGATATCCCACTTAATGCTGTAAATCAGTATATAATATAAAAGTATTTGGAAGATATGAACTGTTACTTGTCATTGTTTAACAGAGTACTGTGGATTAATTTGTTTGAAGAGCCCCAGCCAGAATTTCTGTTTTATTAAAGCAGTGTAGGAATAAGGCTATAGGATTCTACATCCTTCTTCACTGGAGCCATACAAAATTATTGGCAGGAATTCTAGTTATAGATATAATTTCTAAGTAATTGAGGTGTGGATTCCAGGGTTATGCATACTTTGAATTAATCAGGCAAGAAAATTAATGTGGTTTTGTGCCACATTGCATGAGTCACAGAAGAAAATTAATCTAATGTTTTTATCAATTCAGAGTCTGGCTAGTTTGGCAGCTTGTGGAGATAGAAGATTTGTGTTAAGTTCCCCTAAAAAACTGCTTCAGTTTATTTCTCTTTATTTCTTAGATTGCAAAATGAAATTGCCTTACTTTCATTGCTGAACCAAACCCGCAGTGTGGGGTGGCTCAGTAAACACTGTGCTTATTTCCTGAAGTTCCCAAGTAACTCAGTGTTGCCTTTTCTGCATACCAGTGCTGGGTCATGGCAAAGTGGGGAGCACAGACCCCTGCTGTATTACCTGTCATCTCTGCTCAAGCACTTGCCTTGTTCTCCATGTAGGTAATGAATAATCTGCTGGGTGCTGACTTTGTTCTCTGGGCACTGCAAACCCCTTACTAAGGAAAGTGATTTGTGTTTAAAAGCACAAGCACTGACCTTCCCTGAAGTCCAGCAAAACACTGTGAGCAGCTGCAGAGGACAGCCACCTCCTCTCTCAGCTGGGAATCCTGCAAGAGCGTTTGAGGTGTGACTTTCAGAATCACTGTCCACTAACACAGCTCTGCAGACAGTGGAGTCAGTGAGAGCTTTATTCCAGTGGGAGCAGTCAAGCCTGAACTGAACGTTCTGCTTTATATGTCAAAGTTGCAGGAATGAGTTACAAGAACAAAACTGTTTGAAATAATTCAGTATGTCGGAAAGAGAGAGCGCTCGGCTTCCATCAGCAAATGATGTACAAAACCCAACAAATATGCTCAGAAGCAGAATAACAAAATGCTGCCTGGGTCTGCAGTAGCATGTGTGTGCTACTCTGCTGGAAAGTGCAGAGGAAACCAAAAAAAGAAGAAAAGAAAAGAAAAGCAGTGGCAATTCCAGATTGTCAGTGTAAGTGCCACCAACATGAAGGGAGCTGAAATCAGGCTCAAAGGGCACTCGGGGAGCATTTAAGGGGAGAGCTTGGCCATCAGCTCAGAATCTGCTGTTATTAATATGGCTGAGGTATTTCTATGGTTGCATTTAAATAAATGGAGCAAACCTAAATGGCATTTTTACTGAAAGGAGACACCAGGAGGGAGTAAGTTATAAAAAGCAGCTTAGATTGGGCATTCACTGTGTGGTGGAGCTGCACGTGCTCTCTGGAAGGAGCAGCGAGCACTCCTGTGGTCGTGTTTTCTGTTGTGCCCGCTCTGTCTCTGAACTCGCCCGGGCTCTGTTTGTGTTCACTAACCCCAATTGTGCTCCAGGGTGTTCCTGCAGTAGCATAAAGGATGACCTCTTGTATCCAGCACCTTTTTGCATGGGTGGAGTGGAGAGCAGCTCTCCGTGAACCTTCAGCTTGTGCTTCTCCATGCTGCTTCCTCTGAACGCTCCTCTCTCTTTGGCGCTGCCTAACTCTGACTCTGGCTGTCCATGGGGTTTTCCTTTGTGCTTGATCTAACCATGTGGTAGAACAATACAAATGGAACATGGTTCTGTCAAGCACCATGGAAGGCTGCATACTCCCTGCAGCATGGCATGCCTGGATACTTCTGCTGGGGCAGAAGCATCAAAAGGTGAGAGATTCCCTTTCCCTGTCCCTCTCCGCACGGTGGAACTGGTGAAGTGTTGCTAACCAGGCTCCCAGGGAGCCACAGTGATGTTTGCACAGACTTTCCACAGGGCTTGCATGCAGAATAACCATTTCTAAGTAATTAATCTGTTTAATTGCTCTCACAATGAAGGAGTCAGGCGTTCTGTTGGTTGATAATATTCAAGGGTGATTCTAGCCATACCTACAGAGATTAAAAATCACTTTGTCTCCTTACCTTGTGCATAATCTAAGCTGCATCTGTCTCTTTGAGCTGTCCAGTGAATCCTTCTACTTGAGATACTCTTTGGATGCCACTTCTGCAACAAGACACCTGCCACTCAGTGTAACTTTGGATCTGCTCTTAGTGTGCTGGCATTGCATTGTGAACAAATATAATGCAAAAGAAAAAAAATAAAACTTCAGAAGAGTCTACAAAGCATTGTTTTTCCTCTATTGAAAATGACATGGCTGACATGACCTGTTTGGAAACACCACTATCCAATAATTCCAGAGGGCAAAGCCAAGTCAGCAAATCCAAATGGGCCATTTTAGCTTTGACAGTTTAGGCAAGATCTTCAAAATACTTCTGCCTAACTCCCCCCCTGCACAGAGATAATAACACCTATTCATAAAGGACTTTGAGAGTCTCAGACAGAAGTTTTCGTACATTGAAATATTTCCTTGTCTTGCAAATTTGCCACATCTCTATTGTGGAGCTGTCAAAAGAAGGACACCCAGGATTCTTAGATTGTATCTGTAGTTACTGATAAAAATTAACACTAGCAATGTGAAATTATGACCAAAAAATGCACTTCTTTATTATTTCCCTGTGAGAGATATGATCTTGTGATTGTATGAAGAACGTTTGAGATTCCTGGGTTTTTCATTCAAGTTTGAGACCAGCTGATCTCAATGGTCATATTTTTGGTGCCAAATTTGAGGCAGCTAGATCATTTTCTAGAATGAATGTGTCAGGACACTTTTGAGACAGCCTGATTTGTAGCAGAACAGATCCTCCAGAGCTCCTTTTAAGTCCTTTGGACAAAGCTAAGTTTTGAAAACTGAAATCAGGTTTTCTAAACAATGTTTTAAAAAAGAAAGAGAACAAAATGTATTTCTCTCTGTTGCCTGATTCTCCATGTGGGTATCAGAAAGGCACAAGGAATGTTTGAGCACTTGGAAATGTGATGTTTCTTTATCTAAGTGCTGCTGTTGTGTAAACTGACATGGTGTGTTTGTTTTATGATAATAAGAAATCACAGTACCTGATAGTAGTGTCACATTGGTTGTGATATAAAAATGTTATCAGAGTAACTAACAAATCAAATAACTACAACTGCCCTCAGTTACACACAGGCCTTGCTGTTGCCTTGGCTACTTGTTTTACAGCAAGCTTTAATTCTTCCTCATGTGGGGAATTGCTGGAGACTCCCGGGTCATGTTCTGTCCTGCATCTCTTCTCTGTGGCTTTCCATGGATGATTTTAAAGTGCACAAGAAGTATTTTGTGCCCATGGTGGTGAGCTGTGCTTCCTGAGTCCTGTTGTGTTCTCTCAGAGCCTGGCAGTCAGGAGGAATGGATATATGTGCTTAAACAGCTCTGCAAGCAGATGGCTGCACTTCACACTGCTATCCCAGATGGGAATATCTTAATACAGCAGCCACCTGTCCAAGTGATCTCAAGGCTCAGGTCAAATAGTAAATTTTATCTAGGCTTTGGCAGGTGATTCCTGCTGTCTCTCCAGCTAAGAGATGGCTCAGTAACTTGCTGAGCACATACAGGCTGTTGATTACTTTTGACTCAGTGATTACCCGAGTAACTCTTGTTTAAACTGAAGAAAAAGAAAGAAAAAAGGAAAAGGAAAAGGAAAAGAAAAAGAAAAAGAAAAAGAAAAAGAAAAAGAAAAAGAAAAAGAAAAAGAAAAAGAAAAAGAAAAAGAAAAAAGAAAAAGAAAAAAAAGAATGATCCAAGAGAGTGAGGATGATGTTTGCTCCCTTCCTCTCCTGCTGAGCTGAGAGGCCTTTCCCCTGTTTAGTGGTGGTAGCTGTGGACAGATGCCCAGCTCAACTTCTTAGAGCTGCTGCAGTGTGGAAGGTTGTGTGCCTCACCATCAGGAGAGTGGGTGCCAAGTCAAAGTGTGATAAAATTCTTTATTTGTTCAACCAGAAAGCTTGAGAGAAAAACAAAACATTTATTTTTCACCCTCCAAAGTTATACAGTGTTTTTTCTCCTTCATAAAGAATTCCACTCACCCGTCTCTTTTTTCCCATGGGAAGGTGAATCTTGTATCTATCAGTAGACTAAAAATTTTACTTAATAAATATTTTCCTTATGTAACTTCATGTTGTTTGTGATTATTTTTTTCAACAAAAGCTTTTACTAGGAAACTTAGTAGTGCTTCTTCAAGGGTTAAGCTGGAGATTTCCAAGACACTTTCTGATCACTGAATGTTGGTGGGTTATTCAATGTGTACTGTAATTGTAGCAATTTTAATAAACTCTTCTTCTGATAACTGTTTGTCTTTGGTATTGTTTCCAAGGAATCATAAACAACCAAACTTGCTGACTACCCAGCTTGGAATATCTAGGACTGGAAACAAAATGTTAGATTTTTTTAAAAAGATAGGCATTTAACTGATAATGGTGTGGGAAAAATATTAGACTGTATTTTTATGATGCTTTAAAATGCCGACTGGTCCTAATACTTTAAGTGCTGTGCTGTCAGTGAAGTTGCACTTTAGATGTTTAATTTATAATAAGCACAAAAACCAGCAGAGTATTTAGCACCACTGAAGTACTAAGGTACAAATCTGTATGTCAGTGTTCCCATAATCCATCTTGGAATTACAAAACTATACCAAAGTGTGGCTGTGGGATCAAAGTGTTAGATTGCCTGTAGAATTGCTTGTTTTCACTGCATCACCCTGTGGAGATAATGCATAGCATAAATTAAAATAATAATGGATTTAGGAAATGTCTTTTTTCTCTCAGAAAATGGTATGTGGTCATAAAATGGGCAGTGGTGTATTTATCAGTCAGGAAGGGGAAGCAGGTGATGAATGTCATCAAGTCTCCATAAGCAAATTTCAGCTCAAGTTTAAGTTTTTGTTGGTGTTTTTGGGTTCTTAAAACATTTGTTCAGCTCCTCTCTCTGAGAAAGCCTTGTAATCAACTTTTAAAAATTTGGAAAACTTGAAAAATTATCTTGGTAATTACAATCCCTGGGCCTTGCACAGGGCTCCTGCAATGGTTCTGGTGCTTCCATTATGAAATACAAAGTGAGTGGGCAGGAATTGCATGGTGGGGGTTTGGCAGCACTTTGCTTACATACACATTTATTAATCCTCCTGGTTCCTTGAAACACTGAGATCGAGTTTCCAACCTGCTGCTATTAAACGAGAAAAAGCAAACCTGAAAAGGACAGATTAGTTCACTGAGCCTAATTGGAAAAGCATTTCATTAGAATGGGTCAAAAACCCAGTCAAAGAGGTCTGGCAATCACGGTGTAATGGTACATCAGGGAGTGCTTCTCACTAAGTATGCTCTACCCCTTCCTTAATTAAAATGAAAATGATTTAAACTGCTATTACTTTCCTTTGCTGTTTGTTTAACATAGTTAATAAAGATATCTAATTGTTGGAAAGTTGACAAGGTTGTCTAATAAAAGATTGCTCTGAAAAACAGCTCTAATAGCTGAGGGTTGAACATTTGGGACTTTTAAATGATGTCTTTAAAAGTCTTTTGTCATTTGAATTCGTTCATGAGATGCCTTTTCCTTGTGGCTGGACTAAATTCCAAATGGGAAAAAAGTGACTTTGCTGGAAAATACCCTAACAGGTAGGCTTGTTAGACAAGGAATTAGTCTGTTAAGAGGAGAGTGAAAAACCAGGGACAAGTCTTGGGAGTAATTTAAAAAATTGCTGAGCACAAGTCCTTGGCAAGTATTAGAACTGTGTTCAGGAGCTGGGGGATGACAGGAGGCAATGCTGAGGATGGATTCCATGGTACCTCTGGTTACTGCAGTTATCAGCAACTGTTTGCTGGAATATATTTTCCCTTTATTGCAGGGTCAGAGGATTACAGAAGTAAATTCACTGGGAAGTGCTTCATGGACCTTGTGTGTCCCGAGAAGTGTCGCTGCGAGGGGACAGTCGTGGACTGCTCCAACCAAAAGCTCGCCCGGCTGCCCACCCACCTCCCTGAGTACACCACCGATCTGTGAGTGCCTCTGGCAGGGATGTTCAGCTGCACTTGTTGGCTTCTCTAATTCTTAAAGGCTGTAAAAGGGACTCAGATAATTAAAGGCACCTCCTACTTTTGTCCCTGTGTGAAAGTGGGAAAGCTAATTTCATTTCAGAGTTGCACCACCAGTCTCATTTCCTTAGCATTTATGCCAGCTGTGGGGTGAGAAAGGAACCACAGCCCCGTGCACCAGCCCAAGCTGTGTCCTTCCTGTCCAGTCTGCCCTGGAGTCCTCTGCCTTTGCACCTGGTCATTTTTATTTAAGAAATGGTTTTAACCATTTGAGTGGATCTGTGGCAGGAGCTCATTCCATCTCAGCATTGCCTGCTACTTGGGTGGAATAGGTTTTATTAAACTATTGTAACTTCAAGACATTTGAGTATGAGAAAACATTCTTATTGCTTAGCAACTGAAGATTCTGGTTCTTTTCTTGCATTAGTAGCCCCTTAAAACAGAATTTTCTTTTTTCAAGTTAGTGTTGTATTTATTGTACTTATTCTATTTAAAACCTCATAAAAATTATTGATCTGAAGTAAAGAAAAAATATAAGAGATATCCAGAAACACAGCAAAGACTCTACATAGCAAAATGGAAAATATGCAATCAGAGAATGAATTTTACATCCCAAGCCTGCCAAGACAGTGGCCTCCACATTCATTTTGAAGATCAGCAGACTTTTATAGGGAAGGACCTGAAATCAGAGCCCTTGTGGTTGCATGGACCACATCTCCAT